AGCGGCCACTGCACTCCAGTCTGGGCGACAGAGACTCCAACTCAAAAAAAAAAAAAAGATGTGGGATACAAGTCAGGATTGGGAACATAAGTGATCTAGGTCCAGGTGAAGTGTTGGGCCTTCCATTGTATCTCACTTCGCCTGGATTAGGATAAGGTACCCTTATTGATATTATGTGCATCCTCCTCCCAGGCAGTGTCCCGCTACTGCCAATCCCTTTTTTGTAGTATTATGGTAGGTGTCCAGGGTCCACTTATGAGTGAGAACATGTGGTACTCAGTTCTTTGTTTCTGTGATAGATCACTGAGTATGATAGACTCCAAAACCATTCAAGTTCACAATGCATTTTTCAATTGTACCTCAAAAAAGTTGAAAAAATATTTTTAAAGGAATAATTTCTTCTGTTTTCAATGCATTTTGGATGGCTGACCCTGGCAAGAATAAAATTCTGACAGAACACTTTTAAATGACCTGGACAGAACTTTAAAATTTTTTTAAATTTTATTTTAAAGATGTGGGGTGCAATTCAGGATTAGGTATACAAGTGGTCATCGTACAGGTAAAGTTTGGGCCTTCTTTTGGTCCCCACTTCGCCTGGTTTGAGATCTGGTACCCCTAGTGATGTTGTGCTCCACCCTCTCCTGGCAGTATCCTGCTACTGCCAAACCCTTTCTTATAGTATTATGATAAATGTTCAGGGTCCACCTACGAGTGAGAACATGTAATACTCAGTTCTTTGTTTCTGTGGTAGATCACTGAGTATAATAGGTTCTAGATCCATCCAGGTCCTTCTTTATGGCTGTGTAATATTCCATTGTGAATACGTACCACATTTCTAAATATTCAGTTCTGTTTCAATGGGCAGCACGGTTGGTCCATGCTTTTGCCATTGTGGATAGTGCTGCAATAAACATGCGTGTGCAGGTATCTTTTTTGTAAAATGCTCTGAGTTTCTTCAGGCATATTCCCAGTAGGGGGATCGCTGGGTCATATGGAAGGTCAATTTCTAGTTCTTTTAGAAATTATCACACTATTTAGAGCCTGAGTTAGTTTGCATTCCCACCAGCAGTGTAGAAGCGTTCCCTTTTCTCTGCATCCTAGCCAGCATCTGTTGGTTTTTGTTTATTAACGATGGCCATTCTTATTGGGGTTAGGTGGAGTCTCATTGTGGTTTTGATTTGCATTTCTCTAATGATTAGTGAGGCTGAGCACTTTTTCATGTGTCTGTTAACTGTCCACTGTACAGAAAGTTTTAACAGAAATACTCTACAATTTAAGTTCTTAGGTATTTATTATATCCTCTAATTACAATTCTTCTCTGTGCTTGAAATAAACTCCAATATAATGTTTTTTTTTTTCCTGGATCTTTTTTTCATCCGGAGTCACTATTATTTACCTTAATGTGAGTCAGAGGCATACTCAATTCAAAGCACATTGTCCTATTCTACCCTCTGGAAAAGAAGTGTACAAATAGCTTTCATAAACATTCATCATGCCTGTTCATGTGTGTTTGCCAGAGTCTCTACTTCAACTTTATCAGAAAGGTAAAAAGGAATCCATTCCCTTACAGGATCCTAAATCATAATCACACTCTCTTGACAACTGCAATCAGATGTCTCAGGCTCATTTCTCTTTATGATTTCTTTTTGCAAACCATCATCAAAGAATCATAACACCTAGACAAAGTAAAGATTCTGGGTTGTTTGATAATACGTTTTCCAAATTACATTGGTGAATATTTTAAACCACATTTTCTTCCTCACATTATGAATTGCTTTCAATTCTCCTTGATTGGTTTCCCATACCTGGGTGACATTGGTTTGATTCCACTCACTGCTTTTTTTCTCCCCCAGTTGGAGTCTCACTCTTGTTGCCCAGGCTGGAGTGCAGTGGCACGCTCACTGCCACCGCAGCCTCGACCTGCAGGGCTTAGGCAATCCTTCTGCCTCAGCCTTCCAAGTAGCTGGAACTACAGATGCACGCCACCATGCCCGGCTAGCTATTATTATTATTATTATTTTGACTGTAGAGACGAGGTCTCACCATATTGCCCAGGCTGGTCTCGAACGCCCGGATTCAGACAATCCTGTCTCCTCAGTCTCCCAAAGTGCTGGGATTACAGGCCGAACCACTGCGCTCGGCCCACTCACTGCTTTTTTACAAACTATAAGATTCTCTTTTGTTTTTTCATACTGGCTCTAGGAAAGCTATTTCAAGTCAGCCCTACTTTTTCCACAGTTCTTGCTAGGCTTAAGAGGACTAATTCAAGCAGAACTGCAGTATCACACTTACTGTTCCTAAACACCTATGTGTGAAAATTTCCCACTTCCAATTTTCTACTATTTTCTACTATTTCAAGTAACTTAGGACATAGCCATTATTACATGCTGCAACACCGTCAACTTCTGTCCCAGGAGAGTTGTCCACAAATTTGAAGGCTAGAAAACCAGAGTACGGGGAGTTATGAAAGACACCACAGTATAGTTACAATAAAAAAGCCAGCATTTGCCAAATATATTACCCAAAACATAGAATGAATGAATAAGGCAAGCAAAGATAAAAACTATATTTGTGATTCTTCCAGGCATCTCATAGTAAGTATATAACACTTGATGAACAGCAGAATATGAGAAAGTGGGTAGAAGGTACATTACGCATACCTTTATGGGCAAAAAAAAAAAAAAAAAATAGATGAGAACTGAGTTAATTTATTATCATGTAAAACATTGATTTCACATTTATGTAATTGTCTATATAACCTTTTGAGAATAAGTAAGACCTTCTCGAGGTTGAACAAAATCAGCATGTCCTTGTGGCATGAAAATGTGTTTGTGAGTTAATACCCCTCTTTCCTTGAATGTATAAATTGGTTCTCATTGAAAAGTTCTTAAAAGACCTAGGTATAAGAATCAATCACTAGTCCAAATGCTACAATTACTTCTGCCAAGTGTGGATTTTTAATTTAATGTGATGAAAAACCGTGAGAATGAATGCCTATATCCTTCAGAGAACCTATACACAATAAGTCCAAAGAGTTTGGTAATAGCAGCTTGTACATCACAACAGTTTTCCACTTCAGGATTATTGATAAATTCTGGAAGCTTAAAGATAATTAGCAGACACTGATTCTAATTATGAAAGAATCAATAAGGAGGGGAAGGAGTATTAGGAACTGAGAGAAAGCGTTATGGGAAACAAGTGAATAGAAGAGGACCTAAGTACTAGAAGTCTCAGGAAACTAACACCCTATAGCAAAGGCCAATAAAAACTCTTATTATATCAGCTTCTCTCCATTCTTTGCAGAGAGCTAGACAAATGGAGACACAAAATAATTCCAGCATGCTAATTAAAATTAGTTGCACAATGTTGGTGTGGTCATAAAATCCTACAGGTTAAACATCTAACTACTTGAATGTGTGAATGAATCACAAAATGACACATGGCATAGCATAAGCACTGCTAATATTTTCCATATATTGGAAAAAATACATTGCAAATACAACTTGTTCTCACCATATTTCAGTTCTTTGGATCATATCCAGTCACCATGAACACGATATCGAGGCAAATCTTATCAAAAATCTGTAGTAGACACAGCTTTGAACCAACAAATTTTTTAAATGTGGTTTTGGGAAAGAAGTCTTTATTACCAGAAAGAACCTGTAAAATAAATTTATTTTATCCACATTTGGAAAACCATGATAATTAGTAGAGAAAAGATGTGGTAGTGAGTTCACTATGCATACAACAAAATGAATTGTCTCAAAGTCATTTACATGTTTAAATTAAGAAGAAAAGCTTGAAAAAAGGTGTAGAGATGATTTGGCCACTGGATTTCCTCTCAATGAGGTGTTTAAAAGTTTAATAAGAAAAATTCTATTTCCTTGTAGAAACAAAGGCAAGAATCCAGTGTAAAATGAAATGAAAAATCTCAGTTCATACATGTGGCTGTGAACACAGTCAAGAACTCTTATTTTGAAAGCACATAATCATTGTTACTTTGAGTTATCAACAACATGAAAGGTAGAACATACCTTGAATACTAACTTTAATTTGTATGTCATTCTAACTAAAGGATTTTTTACGTATTTTATGGGAAAAAACTGGCGGTAAGGCAAAGAATATTTTGATTCTCTATGCTATCTTTGGTATTGTGAAAAATGTTATAAAATCTAAAAGAAAATAAGATCCAAATTAGTAAGTTGTTCTTAAGCAATTACTAGCATGTAAGAAATGAGACCATGGAGGATAAGAGTAAGTTCAAAAATAGTAACTGAACAATTAATGTACTCATTCACTTTTTTCTTTTATTCTCTTTGTGAGTTGAGGTCTTAGTCTGTCACACAGGCTGGACTTCATGGTTCACCTTAGCCTCAAACTTCTGGGCTCAGTCAATCCTTCCACTTCAGCCTCCTGAGCAGCTGGGATTACAGGCATGTGCCACTATGCCTAGCTAAATTTATATATTTGTTTGTTTATTTATTTATTTATGTGTGTGTTTGTAGAGATAAGGTCTCATTATGTTGCTTAGGCTGATTTTGAACTCCTGGGCTCAAGCAATCCCCGGCCTTTCCCTGTCTCGGCCTCACAATGTACTAGGATTACAGGCATAAGCCACCATGCCCAACTCATTCATTCCTTAATTCAATTTTCAAACATTTTTTGATCACACAGTATGTGATATTATATTGCTCATAATATAATGCTGATAATTAGGATTTTAAAAATACCATATAGAGCCAGGCTCGGTGGCTCAGCCTGTAATCCCGCGCCTTTGGGAGGCTGAGGTGAGTGGATTGCCTGAGCCCGCGGGTTCGAGACCCGCCTGGGCAGCAAGACCTCATCTCCACAATAAATCAAAAAATCAGCCGGTCGTGGTAGCGCATGCCTGTAATTCCGGTTACTCGGAAGGCTGAGGCGGAAGGATCGCCGGAGCCCAGCAGGTCGAGGCTGCGGTGGCCGGGAGTGGCCACTGCACGCCAGTCTGGGCGACAGAGTGAGACTCCAACTCAAATAAAATAAAATAAAATAAAATAAAAATACCATATAGAGACCATATAGAATAATAATTTAGCAATAAATCTGACTTGTAATGCCATAGTTTAAAAGTCAGGAACAATACTGAACATTTGTATAACTGGCGATAGTGAAAATAAGATAAGTGAAATTTTCAGATAGATTAATGTTACAGTTTAGGTGAGATACTCAATGTCACGTTTTTCTTTCTTTTTTTTTTTTGAGTTGGAGTTGCCTCACTCTGTCGCCCAGACTGGAGTGCAGTGGCCAGGCCGCAGCCTCGAACTGCTGGGCTCCAGTGATCTTTCCCCCTCAGCCTTCAGAGTAGCTGGAACTACAGGCACGCACTATCACTCCCGGCCAATTTTTGATTTATTGTAGAGATGAGGTCTCACCAAGTTGCCCAGGCGGGTCTCGAACCCGCGGGCTCAGGCAATCCACTCACATCAACCTCCCAAAGGCGCGGGATTACAGGCTGAGCCACCGAGCCCGGCATCAATGTCACATTTTTCTTATATTTATTTTTAATATATTTTAAAACTCTGCTTTCTTATAAAGAGGGTACAAAACATTTTATTATTGATAGCTTAGAGTCATTAATATGAAAATCGTTATTTTTCCCTTTTCCATCTTATTAAGCTATCTACTTACACACCTTTATTCTGATTTGTTATTTATTTATTTGTTTGGGTTGGGTTATGATAAGTCAAATAACCAAATATTTATATATCATAAGTCAATAAGCTCTGGCACATTTCCCATTTTTTTCTTATTACTAAGTTTTCAGGCATTCCCAGTTTCAGATAATTGAATATCTAATGGGAATTTAGACTGTAAGTATATATATGGTTAATAAATTTCAGAGAAAAGATCTATGAAAAATGAGACTAGATTGTTACTAAATATACTGTCTCTAGTGGGAAGTGAATTATATCTATAAGAAAATTGTACTCTTTAGACTAGAAAAGACTTATTTAATATTAGCATTTATTTATTTTTATTTTTATTTTTTGAGTTGGAGTCTCACTCTGTCACCCAGACTGGAGTGCAGTGGCCGCTCCTGGCCACCGCAGCCTCGATCCACTGGGCTCCGGCGATCCTTCTGCCTCAGCCTTCCGAGTAGCCGGAACTACGGGCATGTGCTACATGCCTGGCTAATTTTTTGATTTATTGTAGAGAAGTCTCGCCAAGTTGCCTAGGTGGGTCTTGAACCCGGAGGCTCAGGCAATACACTTGCCTTGGCCTCCCAAATTACTAGGATTACAGGCTGAGCCACTGAGCCCAGCCTAGTGTTTATTATAAAGTGTTTCTTTCAGCCGGGCTCGGTGGCTCAGCCTGTAATCCCGTGCCTTTGGGAGGCTGAGGTG